TCCCGCAGGGTGGCAAAGGCTTCGTTCACCGTCTTGTCATCGAAGCCGGAGGTCTGCGGATGGAAAATCACCGAATTTCATGGTTCAATGCAGTGATGATACCCGCTATAGGCACAGAGACACACGCTGCAAGATGATAATTAATTACTCAAAGTAGGGATTTTGAATGAACATAGAACACACAGAAATCAGCCAAACACACAACTCCAAGCACTTTTTGGCCTGAATCCTCTTTCGCAGTTCCTCAGTCTTCGCACGCAGCTGATCATTGTCCATCCTGAGCCATCAAAAAGCGACCAAACGTATCCAACGGTCGGAAGGTGTTTTTCGCCCGAATCCCCAAATGATTAAACCAGCTATGGCCAATGCCTTCTGGTTTTTGCTTTAGTTCTCGGAGTGCGCCAAAAACAAAGGAAAGATCTCACGTGTCTCGCTGAATACTTGTTTCCAAGTTAGAGTTGAAATTCTGGAACGGTCATCCAGCAATTCCAATGTCCAATCCATCGGCACACCGAGCTTCTTTTCGAACTCCTCCTCCAATTCGTTGATGGCTTCCACCTCAATCAGCAAAAAATCCTTTGCCAAACATGCTCTGCCTCAGCTAGCCCCTGATAGTAACCAAAAATAAAAACGAGCCTGAAGGGAACACCCAATGAAAAGGACTTTGTTGGATGTGTGCTTGTGTCTGTATGTGTATATATATATATATACATATATATATATATCATATATCTGTGTGTGTGTATGTGAATATGTGAATATGCATATATATAGCAATATCAATATCAACGTCATATTTGCATATGAACCTGTTGTTTTGTGCTGCTCACTCCTGACTCACAGCCCCAAAGCACCTGCTCGGCCAAGGTCTTGATGAGCTCTTCCTTGGGGTCGCATGGCGTGGTTATGGCCATCACATTGCGATCGTCGTGTGGATGGGAGATTCACCAATCGCAAAGGAGAAAGGAAACGGAGAATCTTTGGGAAAGTCAACGATAATGATGGAGAAGCTTCAACAAGACTGGCTGTTGACGGAGCTATGTTGAACATGGAGCGAAAAATGCACACAAGCAATAAAACAGAAGCAAGAAGTGACGAGAACCAATATCAACCAAAAATTATCTGGTCCAAGTCGCATTCTCCTTTTCCAAATCTCCTTTCACTTCCTGCTTTGGCTTCTCAATGACATCAGTTGCCTGCCACGCTGCAGGGCGAGATGGAATGTCCAGTCGCCACCAGTGAAACACGAACCTGTCTTGAAATAGGCTAACCATAAATTAGATGATTTCTCATGATTTTCCATGTTAAGATAGCAATCATTGGAGCATCCATGAGCATCCTCAGTTTCAAACACACTCAACTGATTCTTGATGCACAAAAGGTTGCACCCCCGGCCTTCAAAGCAATCAACGAACGGTTCGCACGACGATTGCCACCTGGGCAAGGTGTCAAGCTAAGACAAGTTAGCTCTGTGAACACCAAGGTTTCACCCACCAGCAACTTTCCCAAGGCCGGGAGACTTGACAAAAATCAACTTTCAACATGGTTCTTATTTCATTATAATTATAATTGTACAACTGTACAAACTTAGCAGGAAAGAGACCACCCAACCCCAAAGAAAGGGGCCTCGGCGTCCTCTCGTAGAGGAGGCAATCGCGGCCAAGCCCACCGCACCAGTGGCACCAAGGGTTGTACCTTTGGTCACCAGGTCAGCAACGAAAGACTCATGGATCCCGGAATTGAAAAGAAATTTCAAGCATTTACTTGCGCAATAAAATTTGATATTTAGAGGTTGGGTCATGTCTTCCCCCCAACCATCCAAAGTTGATTTTAGAAGGTGATGGATTCCGAGCATATCGCAGCTGCGAGCTGGGGTCCCAGCGAGAGACACCCTGTTGGGCAGAAAGCTCCAAAGGGCCTGTGACAGTTGGATCAGATCATCACAAAAGCTGCACAAATGCAACAGCCAGTTTTTGCACTGCAGGGGACGGTGCCTGCACCAGAGTGTCTGGAGGCTGTGGGCGCACTGGCCTGCAACCAAGGACTCAAAAGGCGGCTGATCTCCAAATTACCCACAAAAGGTACGCTGAGTATCATCATTATCACCTCCATTGAAAGCCCAACAGATTGACTTACCACAAAACGAAAGTTTTTCAAACAGTAACAGGGCTCGTTCGTGAAGGGAAGCCAGGCAGCATGTTGCTCTTTGGTCACCAAGAGTGTGGGACGGCCTGCGTGGAGCCTGTCAAAGGGGCCGGAACCTCAGGATGAATTTCATGGAAATTCTGCAAGTACAGACGATCCATTGAGAAAGAGATAGAAAGAGTAGATGAAGAAAACGGCTCTACCGGGCTCTACCTTCCCCGCTCTCGTGGATTTCTGAAGGCCATGAAAATGGATGAAGAGTCCAGCAGAAAGTGAAAGGAGTGAAAGGAGGATCGTAGTTGCACAAAGTACAGCGCCAGCAAAGTGACATTAAAATGCACGCACTCAAAACACCTCAGCATCCTCAGCTAGGATATTAGCCAGATATCAGAAGCCATTGAAAAGGAGAAGGAAATGACAGCCTGACACCCTACTTTTGTGAAGTGACACCCACTTCCAATCCATTCAGCCCAGAAGCCCAGGCTGTGTTCAGAGCCATGGCACCTGAGGCTGGGATTGCTAGAGACAAACATCAGTGTGTCCAAGAACAGGAGATACCCTTAGTGATATGTTCACGTATAAATTCAAGATCCTCTATATCGTGGTATACATGTGATCCATATGAATATGTGTACATATGCATATATGTGCAGTTCTGTTTATACATTCAATATATCCGAACCATGTAATTTCCTCTGCAAGCCACACACATGTTCCCAATTGCCAGAAACTCGCCCGAGAAGGATCACCCGGTCTAAAATGCTGCTAGCATCAGTAAGAATGCTGAGGCTGCTACAAAGTTCAGCTGGCACAAGGAGTGGATCGCAACGGATCTTGAGCTGGTAAAAACATGTAAAAATGGCACAAAACACTTCAGGAGACCTGCCATGAATTGCTGTTCAACCCAAGCCACGATTCAACGTCACAACGTAGTGACTCAAGTCTCCGCATCAATTTCAAGCGGCGCGATACTGCTGATCTTTCAATCTGGGACCACCAAATGCCCTTTGGCAGGGTGAGCCCAAAAAAAAAGAAAACCATGGATCCGGGCAACAGGGAGGTCTGAGACCCTCTGATTCTGGATCAGATCCCGTGCAGTGTTTGATGGATCAAACTGCAGCACCATCCAAAACATGACATGTATAGCGAAAGTATCATACATGTTTGGACTCAGAGTTGCTCATGGTTTTGTCATCAAAACAGCGTCGATTTGAGGTGCTATTTGGTTCAGTGCAGTTTCAAGATGTTTCCAGCACTTCTGGATGGATGCCACTGTCAGTCCATAGCTCAGGGTATGGACAATCATGAAGGGGAGGAACGCTGGAACAAAAAACAAGTGCCTGAACAGAGTCACCAAATGTCACCAGCTCAACCAAACATCACCGATTTCTCTCTGGCCAGCGGCTCAATATTTTCTGACAAAAGCAGTGTCCAAGTTCCTCAGCTTCATGTGGATCGGTCTCAAGAAGCGTTTCCCTGCATTGGTTTCATCAAGTTTGGTCACCTTTGGAAATTTCAGATCGGCAAGGAGATTCCAATATTCATGAGACAAAGCCACATCTCTGTACACATTGACTTCTATCATCTTCTGCCTCTTGCTTTGCAAGGGCTGATGTCTCTTCCAAAGTGCGCTGTGTCATAAAAGAGCTCCCTGCACCGTGGCAAGGGCTCACCTGACTCAAAGCTCATTGGAACCCACTTGTTCGTGACCTGGATCAGAGGTTCATCAGGATGGCAGCGCTTGTTCCATGGCTGTGCAGCTATGCGATTACACGGTGCAAACATATGAAAATGATGTGCATCCTGTCAAGACATCCGAATTGGCCAATGCACTTCTAAAAGGTGGGGGTGCTTCCTGATCTTGTGCTAGGTGTCATGGCCCAATTCAGGGATGAGATAAATTGATAGTAAACAAACACAAAGCAGGTCTAAGTTGCAGCCACGAGACTGGAATCACAAAAGGCCCGGCTTTCCTGGCATGGTATTTCCGAACTCTTCAAAACTCTTGTCGGCTGGCTCGACAAGGACACTTGCAAGAGCATGTCAAGCATACATTGGCACAAGAAACACCCTCAAAAAAAAAAACTAGCTAGTCACTAGTCAAGAATCATTACACATGAGGATACGAAAACATTTCCCTCCATTGGCCATTTCTTTTGTTTTGGAGAATCCAGTACCAGTACACCCCAGGCGAACCCCCTGGGCTCCTGAAGTTCATCTGCTCCCTGGCGGTTTCGGGCAACGTGTCCCGCTGGGCTGCGCGGAGGATCTCCTGCTGCGAGGAAATCCACACAGAGGCAGAGGCCTTCCGCGTGGTCCACATCGCCGTGCAGCAGGGCGTCAAAATGGACCTCAACCGAGTCCCCAGACAGCGCAGCAAATCACTCCGAGCTTTGGGGGCACTGGTTGAAAAAGGGAAAGATGCAAACAATACATTCAGTCCTTCGGCGCAAGGCAAACAAATATAAACAAATGCCCTTCTGTTTTCCAAATAATAAGAAAGGATGAGAAATTGATAGAATGTACTCTGGCTGCAAGACCAAGGGACCCCGCCCACGACCCAAGCAAAACAGATCCGGACGACCACAAAGCACGTGTCCGAGACAGGCGTGCTGCTTCCAGCGCCCTGTTCTGAAGCATCTTCCGCTCCAGCACCGCTCCATTCTCAGTGGTCCCTGCTATCTCCGGGCTGTTGGATGTCCTTTCTGATGTCACCTGAGCATCGCCCAAAACCCTCTATTGTCCCCTTCTCCTGATTAGTTCATAGGGTTTCTCTTGTTGGATTGAAACGCTTACCGCTTATAATAAAACATCATTGTATCTATAGTTTGTTTAAAACCTCAAACGATCCATGCAAATACAGTAGTATAACGGTAGAACTCCCCATTTTTTGTCGATGTTCGACCCTCAACACCACATCTCTTGGGCCAAGAGCTGGCCTTGGGTTGGTCCAAGCGTGCCGCTTCCACCACGCGAAGGCTCACGTAGCCGTGGTCGAAGGGCGGTACCCGCAGGCTCCGCACCTCGAAGGCCAAGGTGCCGTCGTGGCCCACCACCGTGGCCCGGCGCAGGTCGGAGGGGCCAACGAAAGCCAGATCCACGTCCAAACAACATGGGCCACGGTAAACTGCTGGGAGATCCTGCGGTTTTTCGTGGGGTGGCATCATCCCGGAAGTTGACAATTCTGGTAGATGGTGGAAGAATTTGGCGTTTGAGGTTATCAAGTTATCAATTCTGATACATATCCAGATTGCTTTGCTTGGCTTGTAAGCCAACACCTTGCTTCCTGTGGACCGAACCTCAACTTTCCCGGGAAAAGTGTCCTTCACCAGCGGATTTTCCGGCACGGCAATGGGCACGGGCCGATTGGCCACAGGAGTTCCCAGCTCCACTGCCTTGGGACTTTGAGGTTGGCAATGTGGTTCCAAGCCACTGAAGGAAGGGAAGGCCAGCATCAAGTCCCTCTCCAAGGCGTGGAGATCGTCCTGCCGTTTCATCTCGGACAAACGTCTTACCTTTGCGTCCCGGTGCTTCTCATCGAATTTCCGCCGCAGACTGTCCTTGGTTATAGCACAACTTGACTTTTGTCGCCCAGGCATAGAATGAAAAAAGTTTGCGTCAACTGCTGCGTCAACTGCTGCGTCAACTGCGACATTCTGTTGGCACAAAGTGTCGACAGTGTCTACATGCACCATGGCAGTGTAAAGTCACAAGTATGCAGTATGCCCACCATTCCGCACCAACCATCATGACCATATCATTGCAGCAAATAACCAAATAATTGCCCCTCTACTTTGAAAAGGATCGCTGTTGCCGCTTGGGCCTGGTGATCGTGTCAGCTAACTTGATTTTTGACATGTGCGCCGATCCGCTGATCTCTCCTGCCACCTAAACCTCATAGAAAAATCCTGACCCAGAACAAGGATTGGCTGCACGTATCAGTAAATCAGGATGTTCGTTTGATCACATTTGGATGACCTTCGTTGCCCCTTCGGGGGTTCTGGAATGCAGACTCAGCTTCCACATACTGCTCCAAATGGCCGCTCAAACTCTCAAAGGGAGCAACATCGATCGGCGGGCTGCGCTGCCACTGGTGCAGCGGCAGCCGATGCGCTCGAAAGGACGCCCCCAGCGATGACATCGGAGGACAGACCTGGGCCACGGCTCCGAGATCTTGGCAACATGCAAGTTGAATCAAGTTGAATCAAGTTGAAGGGTTGATAAGGGTTGTACCTTTTTGTACCACGTTGTTTGGGATGTTTTGGCATTCATTAGTAGAAACGATCACTTAGAGTTAGAGCATGCAGGTTCAAACCAACACATGTTGTGTCATTCAATTGTGAACAGTACCAACCTGAAGCTGCAGTCCATTGGATATCATACCCAAGAACCCAAGCAACTGTCAATCCAACAAACTCAATCTGCTTTGCTTAACCAGCCAATCTGGATGCCTCAACGTGCTCATGTTGCAGCCACTAGCGATCGTACTGGATGTCAGGAGACTGCTTCTCCCAGAAGGACAACTCTTTGTTTGCCCATGTCATTCATGTCCGGCAGGTCGTGGGGCCACCAAAAAACCTGCCAAAACATGCGACATGCGAGCCTGGGGCCTGTACAAGTACGACCATGAAATGTCACGGCAAACGTTCGATCCACTCTTGGTAAATTCACACAAATGTGTTTTTGGGGTCTAATCCACTTGGACGTTGGTCTCAAGGGGCCTGATCTGTAGAATTGATTCCCGCAACTCAGCATCCCACGCCTGAAAAACCACCGTGGCCCAAGCATCCGAATTGGTTCCCTGATTCAGCGGCTCGGTCTGTGGCAAAAATTCCCCCACCTGCCAAGGCCAAGAAACCAGCAGCACTATCAGATTGTCAAAAGTTGTCTCATGTGCGGACGTCAGTTCGACATAAAGATTATCCCCAAGATCTGGTGATTTAGGAGCTATAAAACAACATAGTCATCGTAACATAGTGACAATCAACAAAGGATGTCAAGGGATCAAACGGCAGCTGTACAGAATTAATGTGGCAAGCTGCATAGTTTACAATTTTTTGGTCCTGCTATTTGTCAGTACCCTACGTTGTAACATCTGGCTATGAGTTGGGCGTGTTCATACACATATACACAATTGGGTTTACCACCGAATCACTATCTGAAATCATACTGGAACTGTTTCCAGCGGTTGCACGGTCCCACCTTGCGGTCGGGAAGCCGTGGCCGCCATTCCCCAAAGCGACCCTGCGAATGGTCAACCAGCTCTTTCACCAGAGCTGTGGCCATGGCATGCGTCGCTCTCGTTGAGACCCTGATGACAACTGGTTGGTGGTTGAGCCACCCATCCAAAAAATTGGAAAAAAATGGATCACCATCTCACGAATACATGTGAAAGCTGCCAACCAAACAAGTAGGTATAGAAAAATAAATTGACCGAAAGTTACTGGAAGCTTGGAATTAAAGAATATTTTCTTTAGCATCATCGCTCTTAGCCAGTGAAGATGGTTGACGATCCCTTTTCACTGCCTTTGTTTTTGCAAACCCTGCAAGCTCACATCGCAAATGATTTCTTTGCTTTTTAGGTTTGCAGGATGTGACCTCAATGGTTGCTATTTCATGGTGCTACAGTGTTTGTGAATGCAATCGGGCTGACACTGCCTGTCTTGGAACCAAAACTCATTAGCCACATCACTTTGAACATCGGACCACTGCCACCTGCTTCTGAGAAACCGCCGTGTACGTGAGAGTGCAGCACCACAACACCCCAACGGCCAGCCCGACACAGCAACAGTCAATCTCTATATAAATCACTGCGCCCCTTCCAGAAACAATGATAGTGCCGAAATTCAAACATATGCAGTACCAATAATTAAAAAAATATGTTAAATACCCAAAGACTATCCATTTTTGTCTCATTTATTGCGTGTTTTCCTGGAGTTCGATGATTGCCTTTGCATAGCGCCGCCCCAATGGCCCAGTGATGTCCCATCAAAATCTGCGCCCTTGGCGTCGGGCATAATCCAGCAGCCTCAGGGTCATGGATTGCCGCGAAGTGTTTGCCTTCACTGCAGGTGATTTCTTCGTATGACATCACAAACTGGTTGCCCTGGTGGGAAAAATCCGCACGTGAACCACCCGCACATTCCACGTAAGATGCCTCGGGTCTTTCACATTGTACCAACAATCCTGCGCACAATGCGCCCGCCAAGAGATTGCACATTTTTCCTTATCGTTTCTCGTTTCCTTGGCTTCTTTTCCGCTGTGTTTGACATTTTGTCCTTTTCCTTTGTCTTTTAATTTTGAAATCCCTTTCTTTCCTTTTCGTCGCCTTTTCCTTTCCCTTTCTTGTCACCTGCCTTTCCTATTTCCATGGCGTCGGGGTTGCTTTTACGCGCGGTGCTTCCTTCCCGCAGCGCACGTCGCTGTTGGTATCCACATTCGCTTCGCCTGGAAATAGCAGCACGGACTTGCTCGGACGACATCAGTGTTGCTGCGTGCATCACGGCCTGGTAAACCGCAAATATGCAAAATTTTAACCGCTTCACGAAAAACAATGTTTTGCAAACAATGCCCTTTTTGGTAGACAACTGCACAAAAATTATATTTTTCTCTTTTTCAAAAATTTATTACAATTGTGTCATGTGCTCGTTAAATTTGCACCCTGTCGGTATACCAAGATTCATTGCGCAAGGAAACCTGGGTTGAAGAGCATTTGCCACGCGCAAACCTGATTGAATTCCACATTTTGCTCGTATTTTTTTAAAAGGGCCAGGAAGACTATGCGAGTTCACATTGATCACCTGGTGCATTTGTCCGTTCAATTGAAATTAGCTGCCCAAGCAAGACTCTCAAAAACTCTATTTCTAGCCTTTTGTGGGATCAGCACGGGCTGCTCACCACGACATTGAAAACCCAAAATTACATGTTTCACTCCCGATGACGTTTTTGGTCTGGAAATTACGTCTTTTCTCAAAAAAATCAACCCATGCCTAAAATTTCGGATAGTTGGGTTTTCTAGGTAGGTGCTGTTTCACACTGGCAAAGCTTTTGGTGATGAGAAGCGCTCCTCTGTCTTCGTCCGCTATCGCTCTTTCCACTCCGAAGTCGGCGACATAACGATCGACATCGTTTTCCTATTCTTGAAGGGCTGCGCTGAATTCAGTTTCTTTTGTTGGAAACTTTGGGGACAAGAGGGTGCGTCGTCAAATTAACGATTTGTTTGTTTGTTCGGGGTGCCATTCTCTCCAAAGCAATCGCCACAATTAAAAATCGTGTTGATTTTGTATTCCCCGAGCGATCTTGACCGCACCCAGCGCTTCTTGAATTCTAGAGGAAATCTGCAGACACCCCCTCGATACCTACAGGATTTCTTGCTCTCCTCGCTTCATCAAGGTATTCCGGATGGATACCTTTCGTCGACTAAGGCAAGAAATTTCAACACTGAAAACTACACGTTCCCAGCAGCTGTGCCTTTTTCACTCAGTTATTTGGGCGGCTTCACTGCATTCTTCAGCAGGTCTATTCCCCCAAAGGGGTTCACCGCGGCTGTTGCAGCTACCGTTGAAGGAGCTGCGGCTTGGGTTTGGGCATTCGGTTGCCCTTTTCGCAACTGTGGTTTCCAGATCCGCTTGTCTCATCCGGGAGATGCCTGTGGAGTGATGTGTACTGGTGGGGCGGATGCCGGCGGCTGCTGGAGAACTGTGAGGATCGGTGGCGAAAAAAATCTGAAACTTGACTTAAAATCGAACTACCCTGCCACCACATCGACTGTCCCACTGCCACGCTGACTACTCCACACCACCCCAACTAACTTCCAACCACGCTAGCTACCCCACCACCACACCACCACACCACCACACCACCCATTACCACCTACCGTATTATCATCTAATACGATCGTACCCCAGACCACACCATACTTGTACATGTTTCCCGGCGCAAGGCTGATGTCTTTCCGTGAACATATTCTCACGATGACAAATAACAAATAAAATGAAGAAAATGCCGTGGCAGTGTATATCCCATTTTGTGGGAAACGTCGAGTTGCTATTCGCGCTGCCAAGCCGTGCAGCAGCCCGTACCGCTGGAGCGGTACGCCGCGCACGATGCGCATGAGTTCATGGCACTCACTGCTCCAGCGACCGCCGAACTCCGCCACCATTTTTTTATTCAACTAATCAAAGGAAGTTTAGAAGTCAAACTTCCGACAATATGGACAGATAAAAAGCAGAGGTGATAAGAGCCAGAGAAGATAAGACAAGGGAAGAGAAGTGAAGAGAAGAAGAGAGAAGATCAGAGAGTCAGAAGCAAGAAGATGCAGGCGCACGAAAAAGTAGACAAGCCGCGAATCACTATGTTTTTCAATGGTTTGTGGCTCCGGAGGGTCGGAAATGAAAAATCGCACGCCGTTGTGGCGCGAAGCACATTTCGAAGTCAAAATGCACAAAACATGACAGCTTCAGAGCATTTTTAGAAGTTGAGATGTCGAAAAGTGCACATCGTTGTGGCGCGAAGCACATTTGGAAGTACAAAACACACAGATCTCAGAACACTTTTGGAAGATGAAATGTTGAAAAAGTGTACGCCGTTGCGGCACGAAGCACATGTGGAAATCAAAAGTGAAAAAAATGATTCTCTCACACCACTTTTGGAAGTTGAGCTGTTGAAAAAGTGCACGGCATCGTGGCGCAAAGCACATTTCAAACTCAAAAGTGTTAAAAACTGACGGGTTTGGACCAATTTTGGACGTTCAGGTGTCGTTTCGAGTGGCATGCGCCAAGATTTATGCACCTTGTCCAAAGTGAACAAGACGTAAATGTTTTGTAGCCGTTTCAAAAACGTTGGCAGGCGTGCGGCATTTGAAGAAGATCTGCAAACATGCATTTTGCGCGCCAGGCGCAGTACAAGAGACATGTTCATCAGAGATGTTCGGAGGTCAGGGCGTTGATTTCCTGAGAAGGGTTGCATTTTGGAGCATAGGATCTTCAGGTTTGCTCAGGTGATTTTGCGTGACAGATGCAGCACTTCGCACACTTTAGATAGATGGAATGGAAAAAACGCAAAAAATATTGGCACGAAGCCGTACTGTGCATTCAACTTTCCATTCTTGAAGGAAGTATCGCAGAATTGTTTCGTTTGTGATGTTGTCAACTTGAAAATTTGAGGACGTCTCGCAAAATAGTTGGTTTTGACGTTGTCAACTGCAAAAATTGAAGACTCTCGCGGAATTGCTCCGTTTTTGATGTTGTCCAGTTCAGAAACTGCGGAAGTCTCGCAGAACAGTTTCGTTTCCAAGCTGGCAGATTGCACATAAACAGATAGACAGATAGATAAATAGATAGATAAATAGATAGACAGACAGATAAACAGATAGATAAACAATTACAACTACAGCTGCCACCTTACACTACACTGCACTGCACTGCACTGCACTACACTACACTACACTTACAACTACAACTCAATTAGAAATGCAAATAAACTACGCTACATTACAGTAATTACATTACACTACACTAATTACATCTATATAATTACACTGCACTACGCTATTTACACTACAACTACAGCAACTCCTGCCACCATAGTTACAACTACAACTACTACTACACTACATTACACTACACTGCCCTAATTGCACTGCAGCAAACTACAACCACAAATATAAACGCAACTACACTTACACTACGTTACACTATACTACACTACACCCCACTCCACCCCACTACAAACATTATATTACATTTTATTACGACTACAACGGCCACGACAACTGCACCTACAATTGAAATTACAACCAAATTGCACTACACGACGCTACACCAAGTATACTACTCTGCATGACAACTACAATTACACTAATTTACACTGCGCTACACTAGACAACACTAGTACGTACATACATACATACATACATACATACATACAAACATACATACATATTTACATATATACATATATACATATATGCAAATATACATATATACATATATACATATATACATATATACATATATACATATATACATATATACTTATCTACATATATACATATATACATATATACATATATACATATATACATATATACATATATACATATATACATATATACATATATACATATATACATATATACATATATACATATATACATATATACTTATCTACTTATCTACATATATACATATATACATATATACTTATCTACATATATACATATATACATATATACATATATACATATATACATATATACATATATACATATATACATATATACATATATACATATATACATATATACATATATACATACATACATATATACAC